CTAGACTTAGCAAATATAAGGTGGGGGTGGGGCATGGGATTCAGAATCATGTACATTGAGGGGGCATATTAGTGGGTTTTATGTGTGTGAGTGTACCATTTGGACTTCGGACACAAAAGGTTCTCCATAAATATTTTTGAATCCATTGAATCCACTCCAAATCAAGTTTAATATTTTTGCATTTTTGTCAGCTTCTGTATATAATTTCTCCAACTAAAGGAGTGCAATTTTGATTATATGTGGCTCAGAATTAATTGTACTCCCTCCATGAATATTTGGTGTGTGTATGTTTTAGTAGCTCATGTTTAAAAACACTGAAAAAGCTGTCAACATTTGGATGGATATCAAAAATGTTATATATAAGTTTGACTATTCATGAAATGATAATAGTTCCCTAAGGGTAAAAGGAAGGAGTTTAATCTAGAGCCAAGATTGTGTCAGTCTTTTAAAAAATGACACAACTCCCTGTAATTATATTATAATTAATACTTGGTATATTTAGATTTTAAAAGTTGTTTTTCTTATGCACATTATAAATGTACCATCCTAAAGTTGGCCTAATTAGCCAACTTTCCTTGGTTATATCTCATTTGGTAGGTGTTTTTTGTAAAAAAAATCAAACAGAACTGGTCACTTTTTTCATTCCTTGTTTTTTATTCCTGCCTAAATCAATAAAACATAGGCTTTATGTGCCCCTATAACATTAAATTTTTCAGAGAACAGGGCACCTGTGTGGCTCAGTTGGTTTAGCATCTGCTTTTGGCTCAGGTCATGATCCCAGGGTCCTGGGTTTGAGTGCCGCTTGGGCTTCCTGCTCAGCGGGGAGTCTGCTTCTCCCTCTGCCCCTCCCCCCTCTCATGCTCTCTCTCTCTCTGACAAATAAATAAAATCTTTAAAAATAAATAAAGGGAAAAATGAAGGGGAGAAAATCGGAGGGGGAGACGAACCATGAAAGACTATGCACTCTGAGAAACAACTGAGGGTTCTGGTGGGGTGATGGGTTAGCCTGGTGATGGGTATTAAAGAGGGCACGTATTGAATGGAGCAATGGGTGTTATATGCAAACAATAAATCATGGAACACTACATCAAAAACTAATGATGTAATGTATGGTGATTAACATAACATAATAAAATAAAATTTAAAAATAAATAAATAATAAATTGTTCCAAGAATAGATAAAAGAAATGACAATAATACATACATATATTTTACTAGGGTTTTGTAGAGAAGGAATCAGAAAGACTTGAGGAAATACTGAGGATTTGTGATACATGCAGAATTTTTTGTATTAATGCTTTTTGAAAATGAGTTACAGTAATTTTTATTAAATACTGACTTTGATCATATGAAAGTTATCTGAATGAAAATTTATAACTTTTTTCTATTCAAAATAAAATTAAATGGTGAAATTATGCACATTATCACATTTATTGAAACAGTTTCTTCTATAAAAAAACAAAAAATGAATATATACATAATAAATAATTATAGGTCATCACAAACACATCTGATGTTTTAGTTTAAAGGTAACCACAGCTTTTAAAGAAAAAGTTCAGAATGTACAAATGTTTCCTAAGTTTTTTAAAATTAGGTAACAAAGGAATGTTTCTTCTGGAATGGAAGTAAATTCAGATTTGTTTGAATTTTTATTACTATTTTTCTCATTTATTCCAAACCAGTTAAGCATTTAATATACGAAAGGTTAATCACAAATATTTGTAAGACTCTTTGAAAATTATTGGCTTTATCCAAAACTTACTAAAGTGAATTGATTTTCCAGTATGAATTTTTTCACTCAGATGTTAATAGGCCCATTGTGTGAATAAGACAGTTTCTACCTGTTGTCCTTAGAGCTTGATGAATCATTACCTGTACAATCATTTAAATGAACTTATGACAAATACTTTAAAGGTCAAATACAAGGCATTTTAAGACTGATGAACCAAGACATTCATCCCTTCCTGTGGAAAGTCAGGGAAGGTCAGGCTGGGTTTTTTTCTTTTTTTTTTTTCTTTTATTTAAATTCAAGTTAGTTAACATATAGTGTATTATTAGTTTCAGGGGTAGAATTAGTGATTCATCAGTTGCGTATAACACCCAGTGCTCATTACCTCATGTGCCCTCCTTAATGCCCATCACCCAGTTACTCCACCTACCTCTCCTCCAGCAACCTTCACTTTGTTCTTTATAGTTAAGACTCAAGACTCTCTTACGGTTTGCCTCCCTCTCTGTTTTTATCTTATTTTATTTTCCCTTCCCTTCCCCTATGTTTATTTGGGTTTTTTTTCCTTAGATTCCACATATGAGTGAAATCATATGGTATTTGTCTTTTTCAGACTGATTTTACTTAGCATAATACACTCTATTTCCATCCACGTTGTTGCAAATGGCAAGATTTCATTCTTTTTGATGGCTGAGTAATATTCCATTGTGTATATGTGTATGTGTGTGTGTGTGTGTGTGTGTGTGTGTGTGTTATATACACCACATCTTTATCCATTCATTAGTTGATGGACAACTGGGCTCTTTCCATATTTTGGCCATTGTGGACATTGCTGCTATAAACATTGGGGTGTAGATATTCTCTGGATAAATACCTAGTAGTGCAATTGCTGGATCATAGGGAGCTCTGTTTTTAACTTTTTGAGGAACCTCCCTGCTGTTTTCCAGAGTGGCTGCACTAGTTTGCATTCCCACCAATAGTGTAAGACAGTTCCCCTTTCTCCACCACCTCACCATCATCTGTTGTTTCCTGAGTTGTTAATTTTAGCCATTCTGACTGGTATGAGGTGGTATCTCACTGTGGTTTGGATTTGTATGTCCCTGATGATGAGTGATCTTTTAGCATTTTCTCTTGTGTCTGTTAGCCATTTGTATGTCTTCTTTGGAGAAATGTCCATTCATGTCTTCTGCCCATTTCTTGACTGGATTTTTTGTTTTTTGGGTATTGAGTTTGATAAGTTCTTTATAGATTTTGGATACTAGCCTTTTTTTTTAAAAAAAGATTTTATTTATTTAATTGAGAGAGAGAGCACAAGCAGGGGGAGTGGCAGGCAGAGGCAGAGGGAGAAGCAGGCTCTCCGCAGAGCAGGGGGAGCCCGATGTGGGACTCGATCCCAGGACCCTGGGATCATGACCTGAGCCGAAGGCAGCCACTTAATCGACTGAGGCAGCCGCTAAACCAACTGAGCCACCCAGGTGCCCCTGGATACTAGCCTTTTATCTGATATGTCATTTGCAAATACCTTCTCCCATTCTGTAGGTTGCTTTTTAGTTTTATTGATTGTTTCCTTTGTTGTGCAGAAGCTTTTTATCTTGATCAAGTCCCAGTAGTTCATTTTTGCTTTTGTTTCCCTTGTCTCTGAAGACATGTCTAATAGGAAGCTGCTGCAGCCAAGGTCAAAGAGGTTGCTGCCTGTGTTCTCCTATAGGATTTTGATGGATTCTTGTCTCACATTGAGATCTTTCATCCATTTTGAATTTATTTTTGTGTCTGGTATAAGAAAGTGGTCCGGTTTCATTCTTCTGCATTTGGCTGTCCAATTTTCCCAACACCATTTGTTGAAGAGACTGTCTTTTTTCCATTGGACATTCTTCCTTGCTTTGTCAAAGATTAGTTGACCATAGAGTTGAGGGTCCATTTCCGGGTTCTCTGTTCTGTTCCATTGACCTATGTGTCTGTTTTTGTGCTAGTACCATACTGTCTTGATGATGACAGCTTTGTAATACAGCTTGAAGTCGAGAATTGTGATCAGGCTGGGTTTTCTTAAGATCAGTTTGGCATGATGTGGAGAATGGAGGGGTTAGTGTCTGGTTCAAGTAGGAAGCCGATGAGCAAGCAAGAAGTGATGATGGGAGCTATAGGAATGAAAAGAAATAGATGGTTCCAAATATACTTTGGAGATGCACCAACCAAACTTGGTAACTGGATGTGAAAGAGAGATTTGAGAAAGGAAAGTACGGAGGATAAGTTCTAGATTTCTGGCATGAGCACTAACAGGATGTGTGAATTTACTGAGAATGCTGGAAGAGAATCCAATCTGGGGGAGGAGGGTCCTAAGTTCAGTGTTTGATGTGCTAAGTTTCAGATGCCCTAGAGGAGTGAGTATCTCAAGCAGGTGGTTGGATACCCACATTGTAAATCTTAGAATCACTGGCCTGGAATATTCAAAGTCCACAGTACATTAGATCATGGCAAGAGAATGCGGATTGAGAAGAAAATGAGCCTAAACTCCCATGTTTAAAATGTTGAATAGGGAAGGAGGAAGTATCAGGAGAACTAAGAAGAAACTTTCAGAGAGGCAATAACTGCTGACAAATTTTTTAAAAAATATACCATCATTTTGAGTAAGAATTCCTATGTAAAAGTAACAGTGACAATCAGGAGACTTGACTTACAGATTAACAGCACCTGGAATTTCCTGGGCCTTTTGTCAGAGTCTGAAAAAAATGCTTATTTTTTCTGCCTCTTGATAATGTTGTTGTGAAAGTATTAAATAATGTCTGTGATATTAGAAATTAAATGTTATGAAAAGACATATATTGAAGCCAACATCATAATCATGTGTTTTCTTAGTGGATACTTAGAAGAGCTATTCTCAACCAAAAATGTGGCTATATTTATAGAGTTTATATATAGAAAGAACTTTTTTTTTCCTGCTTGCAAATATTGTTCCTACTTATTTATGGTAGTTTGGTGAAACATAGTTCTGACCATATGGGAGTCAGAAAGGAAGTCTGGAGTCTGGAAGTGAACAGTGGCCTCACACCTGGTTTGGAATCACTTTTTTTTCTTTTCTGGAGTTAACTCCAAAGACAAACCAGTCACAGGACAATTTACCATTATTATTATATTAGAGTCTAACTTTGGAAGAGCTTAAATCACTTTACAAGTTTGGTTTAATCAATAAAGTAGGTATTACTTTTCACAACATTCTTTGTGAGGCAGGTGTACTTGAAACAGTCTATTAACATGTGTTCTTTTCCACCTCCCACAGAGTTCCCTGGGGATACAGGGCCCACAGGGTCCACCTGGAAAAGAAGGTCAGAGGGTAAGTAAACTTGGGACAACTGGCAGGCATTACTATCTCAAGGCTTACTTATTTCTGAACATTAATAAAAATAAACCCAAAATACAGCAAGCAGATGGGCATAAGGAGAGTATTAACTATCCAAAGGCTGAAATTTGAGATCTGAGATTTTGACAGAGCTTTTACAATCCAGAAAGTTCTATATACTTTCAAGATTGGCAGCACAAATGTAGAAATACAGTTTAGGTGAAATGAATTAACTGTAATTTGATCTAGGGAACATTGCTCATATTTTGAGGTTTTGAGTTAAGTTGATGAGTATCTTTGTGGAGTTCCCGCCTGTTCATGAATTCTGTAAAGACTGTGAATATTAACTGCAGTCTTTAGTTGAATTAAATTATTGACTTTAGTGATGCTTTATAATTCTTCTTTCATTACAGTTTGCTGCCTTTGAGATAAAATATGTAGTAAGTGAGTAAATTGTAGTTGCAATAGTTAGTCTTAGCTTCCCCCAGTAAAGGGAACCCCTGCAGTGATAATGGGTAAGCTTCACTTCAACATTTTCAGCAGTGGGTCACCTCATTCTTATGGCTTATTGTTATTGCTATTTTCAAATCATTTTAATGTCTTGAAACATTTTATGTGCTTGCTCATATGATTATTGTTATTAACTTTTGTTACCTTATAGATGAGAATTATATGACTCAGAGTTTAGGTGATTTGCCTAAAGTCAAAGAGCTAATAAAAAGTAGATCCAGGTGCTCGCTTTGGCAGCACATATACTAAAAAAAGTAGAGCCAGAACTTGAATATGGGGCTTCTGATTCTAAATCTCACGTTCTCTTTTACTGTCCTAGGGTATTAACCCCAAATCTCTTTTTTAGTCATTTTTGTTTATTATTCCCAGTTTTGTCCTCTGGCAAATAAGTCTTTTGCCTCAAGTATATCAGAATCTTTCAAGTATTTGGGAGCCAGTGGTATATTTTACCAAGGTTTACCTTTTATCAGGTTAATAAAATCCCATGTCTCTTAACTCTATCTTATATGGGTTTCTGACTCCCAACATGCTGATCTCAGAAAATACTCATGGACTTTGTGGCAGTATCAGGAATGGGACTGAACATGTGTGGTATTACTTAGGGCAGAGCAAAATGTGGCGAGTATGCCCTTGTACTATAGATAATATACTTCTATTGGAGCTTAAGATTGAGCTGATGCGCTTCTGTGTATTTTTTTAAACTAACTCCTTCTACTAGAGCAGCTTTGTTTCTTTGTTTTTATTTATTTATTTTTTAGTAGTACAATTAAGATTTGATTTGGACAAAAATCAAAATTAAAAATTAAAAATTCTATGTTTACTTTTTACTACAAATGGCTAGTTTAGTGAACACAAAAGGGCTTAATAACTTTTGATGGTTAAGAAAATAAAAGGAAAAGTTTTGTGAATAATGACTAAGATTTATGAGCCACCTATAATGTGCTAAATGCTTCACATTATTATTTCATTTATTTATTTCTCACAATAGCTCTATGAGATATGTAATACTGTCATTCTCACAGAGAAACTGAGGTTTTTAAGCAACTTGGAAAGGACACATTGCAAATAAGTGGAACTATGCTGAAATTTTAAAATTATTTATAAAGCAGTCCTATCTGAGTTCTGCTCCCAATACCTATATATACAACTGTAGTTTCCCATTTGGCTCTCCAGACCCTCTCTATTCAGGAGTTTGTTAATCCACTTGATCAAAGTTTAAGTAGCATCAGGGAGAAAAATAGAAAATTACTTATCTAGATTTTGAGTCTGCCTTAAGCAATTAACTCATTGGGGGCAGAAGACCAGATGAAATGACCTTGTGAAGTTGATTTCCAGGCTTCTTCTTCTGTTTTCTCCCAGTGATAGCCAAGATGTCTAATTGCATCTAGGACCATATTTCTGAGTTTATGTCTACGTTCTGCATCCAGAGGACATTTTCCTTCTAATAACTTTCCTTTCCTGCAAACTGAGTGATAAATTATACCTCCTAGTTAATATCCAGAATATATAAGGAACTCATGCAACTCAATAGCAAACCCCCAGGTACCCAATTTAAAAATGGGCAAAAAACCTGATAGACATTTCTCAAAAGAAGACATACAAATGGCCAACAGGTACTTAAAAAGGTGCTAAACATCACTAATCATCAGGGAATGCAAATCAAAACCATAATGAGATGTCACCTCATACCTGTTAGAATCACTGTTATCAGAAAGATAAGAGGTAACAAGTATTGGTGAGGACACGGGGAAAAGGGAACCCTGGTGCACTCTTGGTGGGAATGTAAATTGGTGCAGCCACTGTGGAAGAGTATGGAGGTTTCTCCAAAAATTAAAAATAGAACTACCTTATGACCCAGCAATTTCACTTCACATTCAAAAGGAAATGAAATGAGCATTTCAAGGAAATATCTGCACTCTCATGATATGCAAACAACTTAAATGTGTATTGACAGATGAATGAATTAACAAAATGTGATTCACAAACACACACAAATGCACACAATGAAGTATTATTCAGTCTTAAAAAAGAGGAAAATCCTGCCATTTGTGAGGACGTGGATGAACATGGAGGACATTATGCTCAGTGAAATAAGCCAGACACAGAAAGACAAATCCTGCATGTTCTCATTTATATGTCTAAATCCAAAAATATCAAATTCACAGAAACAGAGTAGAACGGTGGTTACCAGGGGCTGGGCTGAGGAGGATGGGGGAGATGTTGGTCAAAGCGTACAAGTTTTAGTTATACAAGATAAATAAGTTCTGGAGATGTAATGTACAACAATGAGACTATAATTAATATTGTATACTTGAAATTTGCTAAAACGGTAAATCTTAAGTGTTTTCACCATAAAAAAAGAAAAAGGTAATTATGTATGAAGCGATGGATATGTTAATTAGCTTGATCATGGTGAATAGTTCACAATCTATATCAGATCATCAAGTTGTATACCTTAAATATATACAATTTTAGTCAACTGTATTCTCAAAATAGAAAAATATAATAATAAACAGATTTTTAGTTTTAATTCCCAAAAACTTATACTCTGTAGGTGGTTTGAGATGGAAATTATAGAGTTAGGTGGGTGAGGCTAGGTTGAGGGCATTATGTCTGAATTATCCCTCATATGACAGAGTTGTTTGTGTCTGTGGTAAGAATATTTGACATGAAATCTACCCTCTTGACAAATTTTTAAGTGTACAATGATACCACACTTTTGACTTAAACAACATGTGGTCAATTTGTAATGTTCCCTCTCTTTTATTTTTTTTTATTTATTTTTTATTTATTTTTTTATTCTTATGTTAATCCCCATCCCTCTCTTTTATTTTAATGAAAACTTCTGCCAAGTCAGATGTTCATCCCTGCTGTTTGTATATACAGTTAGTTGCCTTTTTGAATCACAGAGAAGGAACTGATTCCTGTCATTGTTAAATTTCATCTTCTGGATTTTAGTCCCTAATATCATTCTATTAGTTTTCTTTTCCAGTGAAATGGCTCCCAGCTTTATGTCACCGTAAAATTTGATAAGCCTATCCTCTAAGTCTTCACGCAAATCTTTAATAAATCCCGAACAGAGTAGAACCTGACAATTGCATGTGCCAACAAAGGCTGCCATCTTGATTACCACTGATGTTCTTATGGCATGATAATTAAATCATGTACAAATACACTAAATGCTACCTCCTTCCCACCCACATTTCTTAATTTGGCTTGTAAGATAATTATGAGAGTCCTTGTCAGAGACTAGCTGAAATGAAAAAATATTCAAATGAGGCTTTTTAAAAATAATAATGCTTCAAATTGAAATTGTACCCTCTCAAAGCTTGCATTTCAGAGGAAGGTGGGTTAAAGAATAAATTAAACTTATGTATTCTTCATAATTATGGAGGAACATACTCAAATTATAAAGTTCAACTACTACTTTATGCAAATTTACTCCATTTATAAATATGTATAGTCTCAATAATTTAATATTACTTTTATTTTAGCCTCTATCAAGAGTAACAGTGTCAGAAACTAAAGAATGTAAAAGAATTTTATAGATACTGTTAGGCATGGCTTGTCGTTATTACTACCGGCTTTCACAAGTGCCATTATTTATTGAGGAAAGAAGCTGGAACAGGTATTATTGACATTATCCACATTTACAAATTATTATTTTCAAATACAATCCATGATTTATTCTGCTTTATAAGCTACTTAAAAGGGAAGCAATTAATTTAAGAAATGAGCATTCTTGGGGCGCCTGGGTGGCTCAGTCGGTTAAGCATCTGCCTTCGGCTCAGGTCATGATCCCGGAGTCGTGGAATAGAGCCCCACATCAGGCTCCCTGCTCAATGGGAAGCCTGCCTCTCCCTCTCCCTCTGCCTGCCGCTCCCCGCTGCTCATACTCTCTCTCACTCTCTCTCTGTCAAATAAATAAAATCTTAAAAAAAAAAAAAAAGGAAATGAGCATTCTTACATATTTACAGTTAGGTCCATCTTAGTGCCACCATTTCTTCTCTGCTCGAGAGTTAGGTAGCACTCAGCTCTTTTAGACATACTAATGTACTTATATGTATATGTGTGCGTATGCATACACACATACTGCAAGCTAAGACCAATAATTTTTCCATTTCACTGAAGCACGCAATAGAAGACAAAAGAAAAGTCTATGAATTTAAAATTATTTTTTATTGACACGTTATCAACAAAACTCTTTTATTTTGATTACAGGTGTTTGACCAGGAAGGAATTGACAATCATTATGTTAATTGAAATGACATATAAAATATGTGGCAAGTCTTATACATACTTTACTTCTGGGCATAAATGTCTTTAATGAAAGCAGAACATTTAATTTAATTTAATTTTTTTTTCAGAACATTTAATTTTAAATAAATCATTGACTTCTTCATTTTCCTCAGTGGTTAAAGAGATACTAGCTTCTGCCCTACCAATATCTCACAATTATGGTCAGTTTCAAACATAGGTGTCAC